AAACTGAATCAATGATAGGATTTTGAAAGCTTCAAAAGAAAATACCAGGTCACATTTGGAGAGAAGCCAATTAGAATTACTTCTGATTTCTTAGCAAAACTTTTAAAATCCAGGCAGTCTTGGGTGATGTGTTCTAAGTCCTTTCAGAAAATAACTATCAAGATTGATATATCAAGCAAATCTATCCTTCAGAATTAAACATGAGCCAGGTGTGGTGGTGCACACCTGTAATCCCAGTGGCTTTGGAGGCTGAGGCAGAAGGATCACAAGTTCAAAGCCAGCCTTAGCAAAAGTGAGGCACTAAGCAACTCAGTGAGACTTTGGTCTGGGGATGTGGCTCAGTGGCCAAGTGTCCCTGATTTCAATCCCTGGTACCCCACCCCCACAAACAAAGAATTAAAGATGAAATAAAAACCTTTCAAGATAAGCAGAAACTAAAAAAAGTCATGACTACTAAGCAGGTACCACAAAAAATACTTAAAGAAATAAAACAAAGAAGACATAAAAAACAAACCCTTAGCTTGCAAATGGACAAATTTCATTTGAAGAGTATCTAATCAAATGAATAGAGTACCAAATTAAACATGATAAGTAAATCAAGAGGGCAGGAATTGATAAACATCTCTCTATAATAACATTGAATGCAAATGTTCTCAACTTTCCAATTAAAAGATACAGGCTGAAAGAATGGACTAAAATATAAGACCAAACTATATGTTATTTGAAGAGGCTCACCTTACAGGCAAAGACAGCCACAGGCTGAAAGCGAAAGGATAAAAATGGATATCCCTGGCAAATGGAGCCAGAAAACCAGCAGAAGTAGTGACTATCATATTCAACAAAGTCAACTTCAAGCCAAAATTAATCAGAAGAGACAAAGAAGGTCATGTCACACTGGCAAAGGGAACAACCAAACAAGAAGATACAGCTATAGTAAATATTTATGCCTCAAACATTGGTGCACATGAATACATAAAACAGAAACTCCTCCAATCAGACTCAGACTCCAGTACTACAATATTGGGTGATTTCATACAACTGTCTCACCAACAGATAGCTCATCCAGACATAACTCAATACAGACTGTTCAGTCTTAAAAATGTTATAAATAAAATAGACTTAACAGATATCTATAGAATTTCATGGAACTTTCTCTGAACTATACAATATTTAAGGCCACAAAACAACTCTTAGCAAATACAAAAAAGGATATAATTTCTTGCATATTATCTGATCATAATAAATGAAATTAGAAATCAACACATACACGCAAAAACTACAGAAACTGTGTAAACTGATGGAGATTGAACAATACATTTTTGAATGATGAGTTGATGCTAGAGGAAATCCCAGTAGAAATTTTAGAAGTTCTTAGAATTAGATGATAATAGCAATGCAACATAAGAGAACCTCTTGGACACTATAATGGTGGTTCTAAGAGGAAAGCTTTTGAGTGCCTACATAAGGAAATTAGAAAGATCCCAATTAAACAACCTAATGATGTATCTCAACATCCTTGAAAAATAAGAAAAAAAATGAACCAAAACTAGTAGAAGTAAATAAGATCAGAACTTAAATCAATGAAATGGAGAATAAAAAAGCAATAAAAAGGATCACTGAAATAAGATGGGTCTATGAAAAGATAATCAATATTGATAAACCCTTGGCATAACTAACCAAAAGAAAAAGATAAGGCCCAAATTAATAAAATGAGAGATAACAAAGGAAAAATAATCATAGACATCACAGAAATCCAGAGGATCATTAGAGAATATTTTGAAAATTTATACTCCAACAAGTTGGAAAGCCTAGAATAAATGGACACAATTTTAGACATATCGAACCAGCCCAAATTCAATCAGGAAAATACAGAAAACCTAAATAGAATAATATCAAGTAATGAAATTGAAACACCAATTAAAAGCCTTCCAACAAAGAAAAGTCCAGGACCAGATGGATTATAGATGGAATTCTACCAGACCTTTAAAGAACTAATCCCAATGGTCCTTGAATTATTGTATGAAATGGAAACAAATTAAATAAATAAATTATTGCTACAAAGCCAGTATCATGTTATACCAAAATCAGATAAGGACACATTAAGGAAAGAAAAGTACAGACCAATATCCCTGATGAACTTAGAAACAAAAATCCTTGGGTTGGGGATGTGACTCAAGTGGTAGCGCTTGCCTGGCATGTGTGAGGCACTGATTTCGATCCTCAGCACCACATAAAAATAAAATAAAGATATTATTTCCACCTAAAAAAAACCTAAAAAATAAATACTTAAAAAACCTTAATCAAATATTAGTAAATCACATTCAACAACATATTAAGAAGACATAATTTAGCACCCACTCATGATAAAAGCACTGAAGAAACAGGGGATAGAAGGAATCTACTTAAACATAAAAATGGCTATATATGACAAACTCAAAGCCAACAACATAGTGAATGGGGAAAAACTGAAAGCTTTTTCCTTAAAATTTGGGACAAGACAAGGATGTCCACTCTCACCACACCTACAGTGTTAGAAGTTCTAGCCAGAACAATTAGGAAAGAGAAGGAAATAAAGGGATAAAAATAGGAAAGAAGAAATCAAATTATCACTTTTGCAGATGATATGATCCTATACCTAGATTAAAAAAACTCCACCAAAAGACTGCTAGAGCTAATCAATTCAGAAAAGTAGCACATTACAAAATCAGCATACAAAAATCAATACTTTTCTATATACCAACAATAAATCTGCTGAGGAAGAAATTAGGAAAACCATCCCATTTACAATACTTTCAAAAAATTCCTAGGACTAAATCTAACCAAGGAGGTGAAAGACCTCTACAATGAAAACTATATAACACTGAAGAAAGAAACCAAAGTCACAAGAAGCAGAAAAGAAAGTATTTCACAAGGAAGACAAAGGAAATGAGACAAAGAATGTCTTTTTTATGGGTTTGGGGTTAAACTTATCCCAATTTCTAAAGATGTAGCGGAGGGCTGAATCTTGTGGTATGGACATCTATCTAGTTACCCATCTGGAAGACAAGTCCAGAGTATATTAGAGGGTGAGGTGTCCCTCTATCCCTCTCAGCATGTGACCTGGTGGTGTTCTGGCCTTAAGCATTGTTATTGGCACTCTATCTTCCATTGGGTCTCCACCTGGAGATTCCTTACCCTATTGTCTTAATGTACCTCTGTGAGCACTGTAACCTGTTGGGCTTCCACATGCCAGAGGAGGTCTTTAACATTTTCCCCAAAGCATGATTACTTTCCTCATGATAGTCTTAAACCCTCAATGCAATTAAGGACAGAATGCTGCCAAACAATGGAAGCTGTGGGGGGCCTTACCCTGAGAGTGCCTGATTTTTCTCCACCATTTAAAAAATTTAGAATCCATTATAAATGATCAGAGTAATAGTTAGTCGACTTGCTTAGACTGATGAATAGGGTCCTGAGGCAACTGACAGAAAAGATGAAAAGACAAGGCAAGCATTGAATATGGTCTCCTATCCCTGTGGCACACAAGTAACACCTTTTTGACCCTGGACATGTTCAAGTAGCAGATTCAACAAAATGTCAGGAAATTAGACAGCTTGGAGAGTTTGAAGGGAGGGTTTTAAAATTTGGAAGAAGAAATGACCCCCATGCCATAAGAAGAGAAAGCCTTTTAGAGTCCTAGGGATATAATGTTGTTAAGGAGGGATGAGGGTGAGAGCTATCACTGAAGACTGTACAAAAGAAAGTAGTGAAGAGGAGTCTGAAGCATAGGATAAGTCCAAAGAAAGAATAGCAGTGAAAAAAAGAGAAGGGAGAGTGTGGAGATCTCAATGTATGAAGGCGGGGGGGGGGGGGGGGTGAGAGAACAGAAATGAACACATAAGGATGTACTAACACTTTTCATAATACATATATTGTAACTGCCTGTCTCCATTATCAAACTGGTTATTTTATAAGGCAGAATATTCTATGTGACTAAAAGTCATGGAATAATTATAATAATTATAACTCTACTGTTAACTAAATGAGTGAAATTAGGATGTATATGTGAATTCTTTAAAGTCTAGTTTTTTCACTAGCAAAAATAAAAATAATGACTGAACCACTCTGGGTCTGTGTTTTCTTATATCTAAACTTGGAATAATTTTTGAAACTATGTTTGTAATAAAAACAGTTATCCTGGATTTAGAAAAATACAAATTAATGTGTGCTTGTCATTTTGAAGTCATACTAGAGTATTTTCTAATAAGCTTGACTGAACTTATCAGACTATCATTAGAGAATGGAACTTTGCTTTCCCAGTGTTTTTGACTAAAAATCCAAAACAGATAAAATTACAGATGATTTAGAGACATATAAGGTTAGAAATGTAAATATGCAGAAAGAATATGTTCTTGTGATTTTATAACCCAATAGAGAATTTCTTCCTACTGGTTCTGTCCTTAGTAAATGACATTGTTTGAGAATTGTGATTTTACAAAGTTAATAGAGTTGTTGCAATAAAAACAAAATAATAATTAATAACACCATTCAACTAATAATTACTGAATTAAATTTTATTGATGTCATCTAAGAAGATAATAGGAAGTGAGGTCCATTTCCTCTGGTCCTGTCAGCCCCATTCAGCCTTCAAAAAAGATAATAATCCCTTTGTCTAAGAGGGTAATTCTGAGATATATTAGTACTTATGGAATTGAGTAACCACTTGTCACAAATATTTACCTTGTTATATGCTGGAGCTTAGTTGTGGCATACTTTAAATATGTGCTCATGGCTTTGATTAATAAATTTCAGGGTGTGGTACTGAGAGGCTTTGTTCTTTAGGATCATAGATCTTAAACTTTACTTTTAAAAATTATGTTAATGAAAATAGAAAGATGTGAACTGTTCAGAAAAGCTACAACCCCACATCCAGACGAGGTACAATCTGTCAGATCAGAAGTCTTTCAGCAAAGAGGTCATATGGCACACATTTATCTTGACTCTATTTTTCAAGGACAGCATTTTGGGTCATTTCTAACCCTATGCCTGGTGTTAACTCTTCACTCATTGTCTTATTTTTCTTGAAACCTATTAAAATACTACTTCATGTAAATTTTGTCTAAACTCTATTCTTTACTCAAAACCTAGAATATAACACTGTGTCCCCCTGTCCTTTCTTACCAGAGATCAAACCTGGGGTACTCTACCACTGAGCTACATCCCCAGCCCTTTTCATTTTTTATTTAGAGACATGTCTTGCTAAATTGTTGAGACTGCCCTCAAACTTGTTATCATCCTGCCTCAGCTTCCCAAGTCTCTAGGGTTTCACATGTGTATCATTGTTCCCAACCTGTGGTTTCCTTTTTGGGAGATATACTTTTGCTTGTGTTACTCCTTTAAAGGAGAAAGAGTTAAGTTCAGCTTTTGTTTCCAGACTTGAGAGTACTTTAATATGTGATATATAGAACATGAATCTAAATAACAATACATTTAAAATTCTATAGAAAATTTTGTGATCATCCTTTAAGGACTGAGTATTTTGTCTTTTCACAAATAGCAACAAGACTTTTTGGTCATCCAACTCTTTTAGTTTCCTTATTTCTATGACTAAAAGATCCAGTTGACTTTGCAGATTTGCTATTTATTTGCTTCTGATCTTGTTTTTTAAAATTATGTTTTATCAAATAAATACTTGCTCATTTAACAATAATATAAACAGTCTGATCTCTGAGGTGGTCATATTTTTAGGTTTTGAATCTGTTCTAAGACCAATTGGTCTTGGTCTTTTTAGTAATTTAAAAAAATAATTCTTTTAAAATTTGCTTCTTTGATACGTTAACTCTCTGATTTCATTATCCATGTCAGAAATAAACTTATGTGCACAATAAACTAATAAAAATGTAAAATTATCTTGATACTTTCCATGTCATTCAATATTGCAGTGGTTTATCATGGGAATAAATAAAAATGAACTGAAAATGTGAAGATCTGTAAGATATAGAATGAACAGATTTTTTATGGTTACTCATATACAGAAAATACAGTTATTTTTCATAAGTTGGCTGGATAGAGCAAATATTGTTTTTCATATTCTTATTTCAAAAAATTTTCCTAATAAAGCAGAAAGTGAAATGTAATAACAAATATAGCTTTTTCTCCTGAAAGAACTATTCTAACTCTTCTGTTTAGCCACACTTGCATAGGTGTTTTCAATTTCTTTGTCTTCAGGGCATGTGTGGGTAAATTCTTCACGTGCATAGGCATTGTGGAGATAGCGCCAGACTCCTGAGAATTCTGCTGGAATGTCAAAGTCACGGTATTTCTTGGCAGCAACCTACAATTTTAGAAAAAAAGTGGAAAAAGAAGATAATAGTAAAAGGCATCAGTAATATGACTATTATGTAGAAAGATATTTCAAAAATCAAGTATTATAAACTTAAAGAATCATGAATTTACTATTTTAACATTTTATCTATAAATGTAGGCAACACTGAATGATCGGATCATGTTTATTTTGAGGCTATATTTAATTATGAATACATTTACAAGAAGGGAACACAGAAAAGAAGAGCATTTTACCCTCACTGGACTGAGAGTTTAGTAGGGTCCTTATTATGTCATTTTCATGAACTCTCTTTGTCAGGAATAGAACACAGTAAATTCTGTGAAATTTCTGTTCAATAAATATTTAATAAATTAATAATTAAATCATCATATTATAATATTTTTTTTACATGAAAGTGATTAACTTTTATTGATTAACTTTTTTTGAATTACAGCTTTAATTATACCTAGTAGTTTGGTTCATCCCAATTGTTGATTAACTTTGCATCCTGCATCCTGCTATAATCACTTATTTGTCGGGTTTTTTTTTACTTCTTACATACATGACAATAGTGGAATGAATTACATTCATAATTAACCACTCACAGCATGATTTTTCGTAACTCTGTTTATAAAGTATGTTCACACCAAATTATGCCATTATATATGAGCTCTCTTTTTTATTACAATTCTTAATACACATTTATACCACAAATTTATCAAATCTCTGTTTGTGTATAAGGTATGTTGACACCAAATTCACATCTTCATATACAAATACATGAATTTTGTATAATGATGACCATCTTCTTCCACTTGGTATTATCTAGAGCACCATTCCAAGCATTTTTATACTTTAATTTATTGAATTTTCTCTTGATCATTCTGTGAAAAGAATGGTATTATTATTCTTATTCTGTAGACAAGATAGTGAAAAATACTTTTGATTTAGGAAGAAAGAAGAACTTTTATCTGAAGAGAGAAAGGATGCTTCATGCTGGCAACTTACAAACCCCTCCCATAGTATAGCAACCTGTTGTATAAAGACTTACTTTAATAATGTTCAGTTTGGGTAACAAGCTGCAGTCAGCCAGTGTTAGCTGATCCCCATCCAAGAACAATCTTCTGGAAACTCTGAGTTCCTCAGCATTGTCTGGATCAAATTCATCCATAAGTGGGGTGTTTAAGTAGTCATCCAGACGCTTAAACTCTCTGAGCAGAGATTTTTCAAAATCTGAGGCAATTAAGTCATTACGTTATTTATAAATATATTATCCTCATATATACATTCTAAATATGCTTTTCACAATTTTGACATTTCTGTTTATATACATAGCTTATACTGGCTCTTGAACATCTACTTAATTATACAGAATGCTCAACTGTTCACTGGTGAGACATAGATCAAATGGTGAGTAGCAATAGATTGGATTTTCTTTGTGGAAGAGAAGTGGTAGGAGAGTCAAACAAAGAAAAGCAATATATGTTATCCAACAGATGAATCAGGAAGTGGAAGAAAGAGATATAGTTTTCCTGACTCAGAGGATAGTAAATTTATTAAAAAATGCTTGTGGGAAATGGTAGATGCTACAGTTTATGGATTCTTAAAGATGTAGCTAGTTCATATTTGACATATAAATGATTTAATTGAGATCTTTTGGTAATTGCGATATTAAATCTCAGATTTTAAATCTAATACAACAATGCAAGGGAATATCAGAGGAGAGAATAAAACTGAGCGGAAGAATAAACTGTTACCCAATATATATACTATATATTCAGGAAAATCCTATTTTAGCTGAGTGAGAAGTGAGAAGGAGAAAAATAGAGACTTCAAGAAAGAAATCTTACTCTTATTTGCCTCCTTTTGTGTATTCTTAATGTATGCAGAGAACTTGGCAAAGAGATTGCAGCCCACATCAAAGGATTCCTTGTACTTGGGACTCAGGTGAGGATACCTTAAAAAGAAACACAAGTGAATTATAATTCACTTTATGTTCATTAAAGTTTATTAGGAAATTGGTGACTATAATTTTATTTACCTGTAGCAACAATGTTAAAAATGGTCTTAATTTCCCATACATGTTCCTAAAAGCTCATTTGTTACAAGATATAGAAAAGAAACAACATGTTTCCAAAGATAAGTAGTAGAAAATATAGTGTCTCTGGTTTAATCCCTGGTACCAAAAAAAAAAAAAATGTAACTATGTGAGGTGGTGGATATGTTAAATTTTACAGTAGTAATCACTTCATTATGTATATGAAAACATGTTGTCTGAGCCCAGTTGTGCACACCTGTAATCCAAGGCACTTGAGAAGCTGAGGTAGAAGGATTATGAGTTCAAAGCCAGCCTCAGCAAGTTAGTGAGGTGCTAAGCAACTCATTGAGACCCTGTCTCTAAATAAAATACAAAATAGGGCTTGGGGATGTGGCTCAATGGTTGAGTGCCCCTGAGTTCAATCCCCGGTACCCCGCTCCCCTAAAAACACAAAAACCAAAAAACATCATGTTGCACAACTTAAATGTACACAATAAAAAATAAAGTTTAAAAAAATCAACTCCTGTTTTTTTAAAAAAAGTAAAAACTCTTATTGGCAACTAGAAATGGTCAGGATGAAACTTAGGTATCTTCCTTGATTATCTATTTCCCTTCAAGATTATATTTAACCTATCAGCAACTGCAGTCAGCTCACCTTTCAAAATTTACCCAGAATCTGTTCACTTCTCATCAACTCCATTGTCCCTGTCTAGTAACCCTGTGTTACTGTAATAGCTACATGACCATTCTTATCCTATTCCCATGCTTGTCTGCCATACCTCTGGAATATCCTCCAACTGTAGCCAGAGCAATCATGTTAAAATAAAATGTAAACCATATCATGTCTCTTCTATATTCATTACTCTGCAGTAACCTCATCTCACTCAGATTCACAGCCCAGTTCCTTACAGTGATTGGATTCCATTGTACTTATCTGTTCTTATCTCTATCACTCACACACCTGTGACACTGACCTTCTTCAAATAGGCCTTACAAACTCCTACTCCAGGACCTTTTCTGTTGTTTGCCTTGCTCCTATTCTTCTGTTGGGTCATTTTATCTGATATCTCCTTCTAATTGAAGGCTTTCTATGGACATTCCTTGTAATGCTGAAATCCTTCTTCTGTTCCTAACACCCACTACTTCCTTCCTTTGCTTTATTTTTGTCTTTGGTATTTATCATCATCTAAAACAGTTTACATATTGGAGATAGAAGATGACAGATTAGAAGAAGGATAAACTTCCTTGCAGTTCCTTAGCACCCAATTTGCAAAGCAGTAAAACTGCTTCTCAGCAAGGTGTGTACTAAGGGAACTCACTGAAACTTAATACTGAACTGTAAAAGAAAACAGACACAGAAAGTCAGAAACTTGAACATAATATAAGAAATAACATGTTAGAGATGTGCCAGCTTGGCTACCAGTAGCAGCAGTGGTGGCAGCTCAGAGGAAAAGATCTCTAACATATTTTTGGAAATGAAAGAAACAATAGATGAAATTAAAAATCAATTTAAAAGCATCACTAACAGATTATATTCTTTAGAAAACAGAACTTCAGTCCTTGAAGACAACATATATAAACTTGAGTATATAATATGCAACAAAGGAAAAAGATACAATATGATCAGAATATAAAAGAACTCTCGGACAACATCAAGAAACCATACCTAAGACTCACTGGGAAAAAAGAGAATATAGAGATACAGGTCAAAGTCATTAAGAATATTTACAATGAGATGTTATCAGAAAAAAATCCGCATAATAGAAATGAGATAGACATCCACATATAAGATGAATACAAAACCAAAATAGGCCAGATCAGGAAATAAATCTTTCCAAAACACACCATAATCAAAATGCCTAATATATTAGTCAGGGTTCTCTAGAGGAACAGAATCGACAGGAAGTACAATTACAAAAAGGGGACTTATTAGGTTGGCTCAAGCGACCAGAAGCTGGATAGTC